CTATTTCTACCAAAACCTGTTTCAAATCTTCTTTAAAAAAATTATGTAAATTATTGAATTTATTATTTAGGTTTTCTTTAATTTTAAATATTTAATTGTTTTAGGCATAGTAAACCTTTCGAAAGCTCTCTTCATATAGGTATTATTATAATAAAACTTCTATATAGAATTAAGTCTAATATTAATATGTCTATTCGTGATTAATTAAAATTTTATTATATGGATAATCATATAAATTATTTACAAATAAAAATTTTAAGTACAGTAGACTTCGCTTATTGTAATCACCTCGGAAATCGCCTAAATTGATAAGTAGAATTTGGATTTTCTAGCCATAAAATGGCGAAAAAATGGCAATAAAAATTCAAAAGTAGAAAATCCGAAAATAAATATTTATTGTTAGCACATATTTCAAAGTACTAAAAGAGAATGGAATGGAGAATTAAGCGCAACCTACCTCTAAAATGCCTTTAAATATTATTATATAATACTGTATATAGTATTGATATCTAAATTATTTTAGTTTAATGGCCAATTTGGATTAGATGTTAACCCGCCGCTTTGGGAGAACCGTGATCGAATCCGAACGGGCAACTTCAATGAATTTTTCGGTGGTTCCCTGTCTCTTCTCGCTCGATCACCGTCGTTGTAGATTTGGTCAAACCCACGATGGATATGATAAAACACTTAGTGCCCGCAGGGTGACGACAAAAATGGAAAAAACACGGTATATCTTCATTAAACGACCGAGTAAACGTTAGAAATATTCATTTTACGGCAGAATTTTTCAGAAGTAGAAAATTAAACGCCTTATAATATAAAATTTTTTCCGAAATTATAATCTGTCATAAAACTAATTACACAATATAAATTGTTTCAAACACAATCAAACCGTTAAAACTTCCAACTGAAATTGGCTCTGAGTCCATAATCGGGTCTTCGAAATTTTACGCTTCCATCTCTTCCAATCTCGTGGGAATAGAATCCTCGAGCTTCAAATTTGCCATTTCCGTCTTTGCTTTCCCATCTTTTTCCAACATCAATTCTGATTCCGGAACTGTGATTTTGTCGTTCTATGTTTATTTCTGCATCTCGCTGTTTTATTTGACAGAAAACCTTCAGTAAATCAAAATGAAAGCCGCATATTATTTTATTTCCTTATTAAATAACCTTCTTACCTTTTGTAATCTGACTAAATCTTCAGTCGCGTCGATTTCGAAGAAATTTGATTCGACTAAAGATTATAATAATTATTATTTAAATACTTCGTATCGATGAATTAATGAATACAATTCGTTTCGGTACTTACTGATCAGGAAAATAAAAAATACGTGCAATATCATGATGTATCGAGAGACGAAATAATCTTATTCGAATAAAAATTCTCTTTAATGAGTGTTACATTTTACCATTTATACATTAAGTGGATTACAATAAAATTAATAATTAAATATAGAGTTTCATCAGTTATAAAAATGTTGATATTTCCTTCCATTGTTTAGCTGAAATTTAATATGCAAAATCTGTTATTCTCCTAATGATAATTTTAAGTAACTGATATAGAATCTAAATTATGTTAAAATTAATATTTTATAATTTGCTTTTTCTTTTCTTTCCTTTTCAATTAAAATTTTCTAAGCATATACTGCTACTTTACTGCATAACTACTACTTTACTAATATTGTTAGCTTAAACAATTTAATATATTTTGTTGGGCAACACCTTAATTTCATAATATGACATTTTACAATCACGTCTTAATTTCATATATAATCTTATAAAATCATTTATTTCTGAGTTAATTATGGTTATTTACCAATATTATAAATGATAAATATAATAGGCATAATAACTGATTATACACGTGCCTCAAAAGTGAAATTAAATCACCGTGAAGCCATACGCAAATAACAGGACCGGTAGAGATAACATATATATACAAATGATTAAGTTTGCGTACTTATTGTACTCAGTTTCGGACTATAAAGACCAGCAGCCGGCTCGAGCCATAAATACTATCAGCGACGGTTCGCGGCAGCCGAACTTTCGAATAAGCGCAGAAAATCCTTTGGAAAGTATAGCACTAGTTAACGGGAAGGAGACTCTATCCTGGGGCCACGCGATCTCGGTTTGTCGATGCGCACAGTTGCCACGCGTGTTAGGCACGACGTGAGTACCATCCAGCGATGTGTGACACAATGGACGCGAGAACACGCCGAAAAGGGATAGCAATGGCGCACGACAGAGAGCACAGAACGGCAGAACGGCTCGTCCAGACCCGTTGGCTACGGCACGTGACAGCTGAAGCCATCAACGGGTGCATCTATGTCCACCCAAACTATTCGCAACAGGTTGCAAGAAGTCAGGCTGCAGGCACGGCAACCAGTAACGGGGATGCCATTTGCCGTTCGACACGTGGCTACACGCTTGGCGCGGTGTCGTCGTCGTTGCAAGTACACTATCGAATGGCATCGGGTATTGTTTACGGATGAGTTTCGCTTTTGTCTGTGGAGGAATAACGGGTGTGGCGGTACTCTGAGAGCAAACCAGTACATCACGCAAATTGTGAGGCCTGTGGTTTGGCCACTGTGCAGGCTCACCCGACACGGGTTCCAACAAGATAATGCCTGGCAGCACGTCGAACGACGAACTTTCATCAACCTGAACGAAATTCACATCCTTCCCTGGCCGGCCGTCTCACCGGAATCTCTACCGTCGAACTCCTGTGGGATAGTTGCCCGTGAGAGTCATATTCGTTACTGAATAAACAGGTGTCTGTTGCATATGTTTGTTGTTCTTTTAATCATTTGCATATCTCTTTCACTTCTACCGGTCTTATAATAAGCATGTAACTTCTTGGTGTTGCAACTTTACATTTGAGGAGTGTAGAAAGTACAGTATATATCTCTAGATACACTGCTTTATTATTGACAATGCTTATAAACGAAAACTTCACATTTACGTCCAAAACATTAAATATATCTTTAACAAAACAATATGCGGGAAAAGTCTCAAGTTATATTCGAAATGCAATTGGTTGATTAGAACATATAATCACACATATGGACGTTCTGAAAAGTGCTGCAAGTGTCAATTAAATGCGTCTCGAATATAGCTGGAGTGAGGAGAGACAACACAGTCATTTGTCATCACCTTTTATATCAAAAAATCTAAAAGATGCTTTCGTAACGTTAGTAAACGTTAAAGACTTAGAATAAATTGCGGCATATTCATTTATATATATATATATATATATATATATATATTGTAAATTATTTTCTGCATTCAAACAAATCTCATTATTGTTGTCTATTGTTTTCTGAGTTGTAGAGTAAACTTAATGTATGCAATTCACTCGCAGATTGTACAGTACATATTACGGCATGCAAAGGAATAGTTTCATAATGAGAAAGCTAAGTATATCCTAATAACTCTTATTTTAATTTATACTTTATAAACCTAGACGTATTGCGTTTTAATTACGTTTCCAGAAATTAATAGGAAGTTTTAGGTTGACGTAACAACGCATTCAAATTTTTTCCCATATAATATAATGGAAATGGGATCCTGGTTAACATTTTTATGGCATAATATCTGATTTTCAGGAATTAATTACTGACGTTAAACCAAGGGATGCCTGTATACTGTTGAAATATCATTTTCTTACATACTTAATATATGACAAGCTTACAATATTTAGACTACTATTTCTATTAACTTTTTAGATTAATGTGTGCATTATATGTAAAAATAGTGGTAATTTCTATGAAAAGCTTAGAATTAAAGAATTTTCAATGATTCATTTCGTAAATGAGTGAATAAAAAGGTTGCTATGGCTAAATGTATCAGCTAATTAAATTATGATAATATAAATACTATTTTCTTCATTAAAATTTCTTTATACTCTATAATATAATATTATTTTACTCGTTACATTTATGTATAAGATTAGGGCGCACGACAGAGAGCACAGAACGGCAGAACGGCTCGTCCAGACCCGTTGGCTACGGCACGTGACAGCTGAAGCCATCAACGGGTGCATCTATGTCCACCCAAACTATTCGCAACAGGTTGCAAGAAGTCAGGCTGCAGGCACGGCAACCAGTAACGGGGATGCCATTTGCCGTTCGACACGTGGCTACACGCTTGGCGCGGTGTCGTCGTCGTTGCAAGTACACTATCGAATGGCATCGGGTATTGTTTACGGATGAGTTTCGCTTTTGTCTGTGGAGGAATAACGGGTGTGGCGGTACTCTGAGAGCAAACCAGTACATCACGCAAATTGTGAGGCCTGTGGTTTGGCCACTGTGCAGGCTCACCCGACACGGGTTCCAACAAGATAATGCCTGGCAGCACGTCGAACGACGAACTTTCATCAACCTGAACGAAATTCACATCCTTCCCTGGCCGGCCGTCTCACCGGAATCTCTACCGTCGAACTCCTGTGGGATAGTTGCCCGTGAGAGTCATATTCGTTACTGAATAAACAGGTGTCTGTTGCATATGTTTGTTGTTCTTTTAATCATTTGCATATCTCTTTCACTTCTACCGGTCTTATAATAAGCATGTAACTTCTTGGTGTTGCAACTTTACATTTGAGGAGTGTAGAAAGTACAGTATATATCTCTAGATACACTGCTTTATTATTGACAATGCTTATAAACGAAAACTTCACATTTACGTCCAAAACATTAAATATATCTTTAACAAAACAATATGCGGGAAAAGTCTCAAGTTATATTCGAAATGCAATTGGTTGATTAGAACATATAATCACACATATGGACGTTCTGAAAAGTGCTGCAAGNGATTCCAGCAACGAAATTGTTAATGATTTAATATAACGTTTTCATTTCGGTAATGATAAATAATAATTAATTTAAGTTAAAATTGTAGTGGAAAAATTTTTGACGCGTGTAAATTATTTACAGACTGCGACGAAGAGCATTTTGTGGAGATTTTCCAGAAAAATGTTTCAAAATAAATGACATTAAGGAATTTTGTAAAGATTTTAATCATTTTTGTGAAAAGGATAATATCACCGAGGACGATTTAATGGTGACATTTTAAATATATTATTTATCATTTACAAATTGGTTAATCTAAACTAATAAAATAATAATTATAATAGGACAAAAGTAGCAATTAATTAAAATGGCAAATGTAATATTTAAGTATCAATAAGAGGGAAATTATTTAATTAATGGGTTTTTGTAAATAAATTACGAACTTGAATATCAATTAATTAAATTCTTTTCCGTAAATTTTTTATATAATAAATTTTAAAATAATTTAAATACAATTCTATAATATTTTAATAGATTTATTTCATTCGTATTTATTAATTATTTATTTCATATTGTTATATTTCTTAAATAAACAGCGTTTGATATGGATAATGATTAATAGACTTAATTTACGATCTAACCCATCGATGGTAGTGTAGATAAAGCTGAACACTGGTTATGAGTTCACGTCAAAGCAACGGACTACCCATGTAAAGTTTTCTGGATTTTCTTTACGTCTTCTAAATCCTAAATGGGAACCAGTTTTTTATAGAAATTACTTCAGAGTCGTCCCTTCTTGACAGATCGCCTAGGATTGAGTTGCCTTTGTTTCGAAATATATTATGATTATACTAAAAATGTATTTTGCATAATTTACATTCGATGTTTTCATCGTAGCTTCTTATACGCTGCGAAATATTTCTTAGTTATTAAAATCTTGTTCGCTCGAAAATCCGTTTACTATTTGGATAGTTCTGTGGTGAAGTTGCCAGCCTGTCCATACTTTGTTTAATTATTGTAATTTGAGTGTATTCTGTAATTTTGAATTTTTAAAAATTATTTTATCACACGGTTTTATAACTGTAAGTACTTTTAATGTTTTAATAACTATGACTCTTACTCTCGTGAGGACGATACGGCGACAAACAAGTTGAAACCATGTTTTTGTCTCGCAATACTTTGAGAAACGAGAAACAACACATACAATTAAGATCTTTATTACACTATTCTTTAAACTGTCGTTAATTTACTTCAAAAACAGCGTGACTTTTTGTGTAAATATTATTGATTTTCTTAATAATTAATTATTCTGATTGTCTGCTTATTTTAAAACCTAAACCTAAAATTGGAAACTTTACTTGCATTCTTAACACTAGTTATCTCTCTATAATCAAGTATTTTATAATGGAAACATTGCAAATTCGCTAATACGAGCATTAGATATGTACTAATCTATTACACGTATTAGATCATTTTCGTTTGAAATATTATACAGTTTGTACTGTACTGTACGTATTGTATACACAATATCTTCAATATGTAAATATTTCTTACTTTATAATTTGTCAATAAAAATTTTAATCTTCGTAACTACTGTATATATAGATGGAAACATTTTTTTATTTGTGCAATAAAAATACTAATTTTATTGTCATCACTCGCCATTTACAGCATCTGCTTTTCTTAAATGTCTTCACTTAAGATGCTAATTATTATCTCAATATCTTACATCTTAAGACTGTGAGGATACAACCTAAAAACAAAACTCTGTTTAAGTTTGTAGGACTTCTTTGTGTCTTTAATTTTTTCAACACAAAAAGAAATCCTAAGAAGGCTGGCACCGATATTTATCTGGAATTGGCTATTTTTTAGATTTGTTGCAGTTCTTAATTTAGTCCAGTTTGGTACACTCTTTAACTTTTTTACGTTTATCCTAATAACATATTTTCACGTGAGGAAATCCGTTTCTTAATGCTTATACACATCCAAAGAGTTGGTTTTTATGTCGGATGGATGAAATCAGGCAATATAACATATGAGCAATGTGCCAACTGAACTATGGAAAACTACACCTTGATTAGGTATTAAACGCATCAAATAATTTCAAAACACTAGAAGAGACCAGCTCTATAGTCAGGCGCTAATCTACAATCAACTTCGGTGTGCAGATATTTTATCCGTTCGGACACTAATGGACGAGGAACTCTTTAATTACTTACGTAGGTTCAATTAATAGAGTAATGAATTACGAGTCACGAGGCCATTCATGAAATATTTCTGAAGTCCTCGAGTCAGCAGAACTCGGCACCTATTAGAACGGACGCCTTTAGTACTCATCCGATCGACATATTCCACTTTAGGAAAGAAACGTAAGAATTGAGTGGTTTCATTTAATCCATGGACTGCGTGGAGTCCGAAAAAAATCTTAGACACCATATGATATAAAGAGTTTTAAAAAATATCTCACGGATTTAAAACCTATTGATTTATAATCAATCTCTAGAAAGATGAACTTTAGTAAGATAATAAATACAACGATATAGTAGCAACATCAATGCAGTTTAGGTCTTATTAGATCACCCAATACTCTCCTTTTATTGCGAGCTATTGTCCATTCCTTTGTTTTGACTACAGATTATTTTTATCTGTTCCAGGTTTTTGTATTTTAATATAAAAATTAATTAATTGAAAATTTCTATTAATTTTGATTATTTCTAAATATTCACAGTTAATATATCGTTTATTTAACTTTAATTTTTAGTTTCCTTCTGATGTCGATTATGAATATAATCGATCGATAATCGATAAATATGGTATTAGAGAAGAGGATATTTTACATGATTTTGCATACAATAAGTAAGCATCGTTTATTGATTCATAATAACGTACACTCGTTGACAAAAAAGTTACCCACCCAAATGGAATTGTTCGATTGCTTACAGCTTTGTCTTAAAGAGCCAAGTACTGTAAATGATTACAGTTGTGATCCTATTGCGTTTCGGGCGATGCTGCCATTAGGGCTACTCTTTTGTCAACCAAAATTTTGCTCGAGTGAATCGCTATGTTCTCTAGCCTAGCGTTAAAATTTTAATAGGTTGCGAAATGATACTACCTTCCGCAGAAACACTCGTAATATTTGTATTACTGAAATGTTCTCTAAGACCTAGGAACAATAGATGTATTTGTTAAGTGCTGAAAATTTTTAACAACTCTTTTCTTACATAATTATTGATATTTAGTAATAATATTAAGATTATAGAATGTGCATATATGAAACTGATTTCTCTTTTCTATTTTGAATAACATCATTTTATGTAAGGTCGTAGTCATAAAGCCATTTAAGTTGCAATGGTTTTGAAAATATTTCCTTTTTGGTTTATTGTCTTAGGTTTTTAAAAATTATAAAAATAAATAGCAGATGAATTTTGGCACAAGTGGATCAATAAATAATTTTGAATGAATTTTTTTCCTTTCGACCAACAACTAATGGAGTGTTATGCAAAATGACATAGAAATTCGATAAATCTATGGATTAAAGCGGGAATGGGCGACCTTTTTCTATGTAAGGGCCGCATTTCAAAACCTTTGAACTGACGCGGGTCGCATACAGGAGAANATATGAAACTGATTTCTCTTTTCTATTTTGAATAACATCATTTTATGTAAGGTCGTAGTCGTAAAGCCATTTAAGTTGCAATGGTTTTGAAAATATTTCCTTTTTGGTTTATTGTCAAATTTTAGCAAAGTGGATCAATAAATAATTTTGAATGAATTTTTTTCCTTTCGACCAACAACTAATGGAGTGTTATGCAAAATGACATAGAAATTCGATAAATCTATGGATTAAAGCGGGAATGGGCGACCTTTTTCTATGTAAGGGCCGCATTTCAAAACCTTTGAACTGACGCGGGTCGCATACAGGAGAAAAGAGAAAAACAATGTTGGTAAATCACAATTATTTATTCATATATAATTATAAATTATCTTAGGTATACTAATTTAGCTTCTGGAATCGATGTAAACGTAATATATCGGAAATATTTGGTTAAATATTAGTCATTGTTAGCTTTAAATTAGTTTCGATGTGTCCGTTAGCCGGTTTTTTGTTGTAATTTTTACTGAATTCATTGTGGAAAAACTATTCACATACATAAGTTGTAGAAAATAACGTTTGAATTTTTGCTGCATACTTCCTTAAGCTGGGAAATTGGTATATTTATTCATATTTTACGCGAAATTGGCACCATGCGGCCCGATCGCCGGATTAGAGAAAGAATTCTTGAGGTTACTAAAATATATCAAACATATCAAAATAACAAAATATAAAAATTCGACATATCAAGAATGGTAAGACGGCCATACATTCCGGTGTACAGAGGACGTCTATCGAATATTATTGGCGTTCAATGTATGACGTCGTAAATTAGCCAATGAAAATTATCTCACTTTTAAGAAAAAGTTACCCGATAATCCTACGATATGTATCATATTTACTGAATAGTATTTTGATATATTGGCGGAGATTCATAAATCCTACGGACATAATGGTCGTGACAAAATGATACGCAGCATTAAAAACAGATTTTGCATACAAAAAAGCAGTTGAAATATGTGTTACTTTGTCTGTACTGAGAAACCAAACGTAATTATACCTAAGAAAAGTATTATGACCCAAACAATACACTCCTGAATAATTTTGAAACAGTCTGTTTTATTTATTATCGTTTATCGTCAAATTTCAATAACAAAAACTCAAATTAAAGTAAGTCATTTATTACAAATCGAAATGCTCTCAATGTTACATTTTACACTTAGAAGTTATCATCAGTAATACATAATTTTATTTCGCTATACAGTGACTCCAGTTTACCGGGTTTTTAAAACTTTTATATTATAAACATTTCGATCACTGAACCATTACAAACAAATATATTGGACAAAAAGTTTTATTTGTTTGCTCGGAACTACCATTTTCAATTCGAAATAACAGTGAATATGAATTACTTATTATCAATTGTCGTTGGCTAATTCGAAAAAGTAAACGTTTGCGCTATTAGTTGCTATTCGCTTTGGTGGGGTTGAAGGAAGTAGAAGGAAGTAACAGTCAATGATAAATAACGTCAACAGTTATTTGATACTGTTTAAGATTTTATGCTGTTTCGTGCATTTAACGAAAGTCGTTAAGCCTTGGCATCGTTTGCCACACGATAGAACGTTAATTATGCACGCCGGCCTTTATTAATAAATTCCGGTTGTATTTGTCAATGGACGTCCAACGTATTACAGTGCTGAAGATCACTGATGAGCGCTTCAATTCTACCATTTCTTTTAAGAGGCACGCTGTTTTTATTGTTGCGACAGGGCTTCAAACAGCCATTTTCCAGTAATATGATGCTAAGCCAAACACAGCTAGAGTTTACCAGGTTGGCGCCTTCTCGTTGTCAACTGTTCTGGAGCGGCAGTCGCGAAATCCATAAGCAAATCTGTCACAGAATAACATAACCGTGCTTCTGTACCTGGAAGCCTGACCATACGCCACATATGTCCAGAAAAGAAAAACTCGAACACGATACTAAAGGTTGCTTTAAATTACACTGTTGTTTGCGAAGAAATTGTCCCTCTACTAAGATATTATTACCATCGTCATTACGTTCGCACTAATAAAGTTTTATTTGATTCCAACGCCTCCGCTTTGGTGCGTAAGTTTTTTGTGAATGAGTGTACTATGTGACAAATATTCAATAGCATAAATGCAACTTTTGTATTATACTTTTTGTAGTATTGCATTTCGAACAATTCAAACAGATGAATTATTAAGACAGCGAAACTGTTATTCTATTGACCCTGACGATTACGTGAAAAAGAATATGAATAGACAAGAATATGCGAGTATAGAAATGTACAGTAAGTATTACATAACATATTCATTCATAGTTCAACACACATTGCATCTTCATTATTTAGTTTTTTCCATCAAACTTTAATTAAACTATACAATTACTTTATTAATTTTATTTTATTTTATTTTAAAATGAATATTTGTTACTTATTACTGTAATATTACATTTTTAATTATAATTTAGATATAGATATAAGGTTAATTGGTTCAATTAGAATAAAATTCAATCCTGAAGAAACGATTTGGCCAAGTAACCCAATTGGAATCGTAGCGGCAGTACATTCTAAAGATGACATCATCAATCCATTTATAAGCGGAATTCCTATGACTCCCGGAAATAGATACATCGTCCAGTTAACACCCGTAAGTGCTTTTTGAATTCAAAATTAATAGTTATAAATTCCACACGAATTAATATTTAACTTTAATTTTACAGATTCTGAAAACTCTTTTACCTTCTCCATTTAGCACAAACTGTAGAAACTATATCAATTCATCAAACAATTCATTTTTATTCACTCGTAATGTAAGTTATAATGAATGTTTTAGTTTCCAATTAAAACGATAATATCTTAATGGTTCCTATTCTTTAGTACTGTTTTGCAGAATGTAGAAAAAAACTTTGGCTGGAAAAATGTGGGTGCTTATCACCCGAATATCCATTTGTTACTGACGAAGAAATCTGTGATATAAGTAAAACTTTTTATAGGTTCTTGTAAAGAGAAAAAAATGAATAAATTATATTAGTTTTAGTTATTTAAATTATAAATTGTGTATACTTAAATATTTATCATTTTAGGTACATATGTTTATGAATGCCTTTCTTCAATAAACTTGACATTATGCTTGGATAAATGTCGAAAACGCTGCAAGTAAGTATTCTATTGTTTACTTTCAAGTAAATCCCGTAAAAAACTGGTGGAACCAGGTTGAAAAAGTAAAGCTCAGCAAAAACACCTAAATAAAGGAAACTTTTGAAAGTTTTGTCAAGAATATTGGAAGCGGATTTCACAGTAAGGGTGCGACTATGCAGATGCGAGCGAGCGAGAATATGTGGCGAGAAGAGGCGAGACGCGATAAATATCAAAACCTGTCAGATGAACCAGAAATTTGCTCTCGCTAGCGTTATTTCTCGCTTCTCGTTTGTGCATGGTTTTCCTTTGCGAAAACTAAATCGCTCGCAACCTCTCGCTCGCTCTAAATTCGCGTCTGCATAGTCGCACCCTAAGGCTCAACATGTAAAGAAAGTTTTGGATGAAGTAATGTTATCGTGATAATAAATCGGAAAAATAAACATCATTACAGAAAAAGGCTTCGAGCTTTGTGCCTCAAACTTCCTTCGCTGATATTATTCAAAGATGTTCTAACGTTCGGCCAACTTATTATCGGTGTAACGACTTTAAGGCACAAAGTAAAGCTCGAAGCCTTTTACTATGACAATGCTTATTTTTCCGATTTATTGTCGTGGTGACATTGCTTCGTCCAAAACTTCGTATAGTTATTATCTGTGTAATGTGCAATTTCTTTACATGTTAAGCCTGTGAAATATGGATCCATTCTCATGCCACAGCTTTCAAAAAGTTTTCTTTATTTAGATGCTTTTTTCTCAGGTTTACTTTTTCAATCTGGTTCCACCAGTTTTTTATGGGATTTCAAGTATTATTTAATCATCAATAACTTCATAATAGAATAGTTTTCGTGATAATTCTATATTTAGGTCTATATAACAGTCTAAAATACCCACTTAGCGATGAAAAAACGTGTCAACCCGGGTCAAAAACAATGGTCTTTATTCTACCCAAAACTTTAGTCTCTTGTAACTCCATAAGTACCCAAAGGAAACAAATGATATTTTTAAAAGACAAACTCACTTGTTCATGGAGAACCTTGAACCATCAAGCAAGATAGAAAACGGTGACAACCGTTACAAGTTTAATGGCCGTCACAAAGGTGACAAAAAACGGAATAACCATTTAGAGCAGAATTTTTTAAAATGTAAACAATGATTTATTTATCTACAACTAGCTATTTTATATTTTTAGATTAATCATTAGGCCATTGACCAATTTACACTTTTTTTCAAATATTTACCTCTATATCTAGATAAAAATACAGTAAAAATGGAACATTTCATTTACGTACAGTACATTGTCCACTGAATTCACAAATTTACATAGGTTAACATACAATTATCAATCATTCGCATTAACATTAAATTAAAAAATAAAAATATGATTAAAGGGAAAAGGTGAAAACAACATTTAGACGATCTGCCAAAGGAAAGATTTTCCATAGGAAACTGGTTTTATTTACATGGATTAATAAGATATGTAGGGAAATTCAGAAAATTGTACGTAGCCAGCCTATTTGTGAAGTACTCAGTGATTTTTCTATTCGGCCACTGATGAGTACCAAAATTTTAAAATATATCCAAATTTTAGTATTACTTGAACTTAGCTTGAGTTAGCTATTGAAGTATCTAACTTGCTAACAACAGCTAACTCGAGTTTAGTTTATTTATATATAGATTCTGAAGCAGGAATAGCGTAGGACAAAGAAAACAAATTAATATATCAAAAAAATCTCGATACTTATTTAAAATAATAAATGAACTATTTCAATTTACGAGATAAAATCTGTTATTGAATGAGTGATGCCTGGAATATAAACTTTGAGTTCGTAACGAAACTCAACTTTTAAATTTGTCACGCTTAGTTTACAAGAATCGCAAATATCAGATAAAAATCGACTATCAGTAGATAAAACCACTGAATACCGGTAGTTGGTCTCCTCCCGATCAAAGTGCCAGCGATGTGAGATTTTCTGGGTTTTCTTAATTGTCTAACACGTAAATAGCTGTCAGTTTCTCAAAAAAAATCTTCATCTTGGCGAATCGCCTAAGTGTTACGTTGCCTTCTTCCGGCAATTGAATTTAAATAAAAAAAAGTTGAGTAACTTTCCAGCAAAAAAGTTAAAATTGTACGACACCATCTGTTTTGAGATTTTATTTTAAAAACTATTTTTATTATTAATTATTATAAAATGACAAAAAGCTTGATTTTGAGAATAGAAATGAGTTTAATAATTTAAAAAAAAATTGTACACGCTAATAACGAACAAAATATTCGAGTCAGACCCCTTACTCGAAATACGACACGTGACTCTCTCCATTTCCCCCTGAATTTTAACTACCAAAATTTAATAGCATCAACGACCTTAATACATAAAATCCCCCGCAAATTTCAGAAATTTTTGACAAAACACACCAGAGTTATTAAGCTTCAAAGAGAATGAACAATATCGCACCCCTCCATACACACACAAACATCCATACATATAGAAAAACATCCGCAATTTTTTTTGCATTTCTCGACCTTTCGAGGTCTTCTAAGTCCAAATATAACACAATAAAGAGGTTCGTATCAACACTGGCCAGTTACACTTTCATTATATTATGTTATTCTTTGTACAGAATATTTTACTCGTGACTAATATTGTAAACTCTTTAAATGGTGAGAATGTTATTAAGTACAAAATATATAAAAATATATACTTATATTAAAAAATATATATAAATACATGACTTTTTTAAGTTTTACAGTGTACGAATACAGCGTAAAAAGACGACCTTTCAATCGTGTAAGTCGAATAATACCGAATTATATTTTTAATATTAATTTCGAATGCGGATTGAAAATAATTTTAAATTAATTAACTTATAAACATTTCAGGACCGTAACAGTTCCTTCAAATACAAATTCTGGTAATTTGAAAATTTCTTTGCTTCAAATTCCACAAAATTATAAATGATAATTTTGAATTACTTTATAGGAAAAAATACAAAATGGAAAAATTCGCAATGATAAATCTATTTTATAAAAATCGAGAATTATATACATATAAATTAAAACCAAAGTTTCAGGTAAATTCTCTTTTCCGAAATAAATATAAACCCTTCTTTCGCAAATAACTAAAATTACGCTTTTCTTTCAGCCGGTAGAATTATTCAGTTATATCGGAGGATATATTGGGATTTGGCTAGGAATATCTCTGATCGCTGTTTGTGATTTCGTAGAAGCCATCTTTATTTATTTGTATCATATTATTACCAGAAAAATTCCCAACATAAAATAATGATAAGATAGAAATTATATTTTACATTTTAAAACATTTATATAGCGTAATCATTAAATTAATTTCGCACGAAAATAGAATTATCAACTTTTGTCTTCTTAATCCGACCCTTAATCTTACATTAAACTTCTGGCTCCTTAATTACATTTAATAAATAGTTTCTATTGCGAACTTTAAAATGATTTTAAGTAAAATTTCGGAGAATTATAAATTAATTAAAATTATTTAAGGAATGTCGACTTAGAAAAGAACAATTGTAATTAAAATGTAGGTAATTTCATTAACACCGACAATGTTGATTCTACGAAAGAATTAAAGATCGGCAAAGCTAATTTGGCGTCATACTTACTTGGCGTCGAGGTTAGCTGCGTTCAAAAGGGCGGCGCCTCCGGGACGAGGCTCGACCATTGCACTCGGGTCGAGCTGACTCCTGGTATTTGCTTCTGTTGGGAGCGGATACGCGCGTAATTTTTGGTAGCGGGGACTGCGTTCGCGCTTTCCCCATAAAATTATTCATTAAATTAAATAAAAAACTTCAATTAGTGAGGCGTATAGATCAGACCGCCATTTCCAGGCTAATAACAAAAGTTCCTATGTTGATTATAGTTACGGTTACCAGTTCTTCACAATTATGATCGCTCGTACAGCTTGTTCGGTTGGCTAAAAATTTCCTGAAATGTGTGCTTTTCTATTTCTTTTTCTTCAACAAACAATCTGTTCACGTATTCCGTATTCGAATCAGCTAGTAAATTTTAAATTCGCCGGCACCGTCTCCAGGCAATTCATTTTTTGCGCATTCTTTTAAAATATTCTGAACTTTCTTCTCGTTTTTCTGTCGAACACCATGGAAAATTCCGTATTGTTCGAGTGCTACTTCTGTTATTCGAGGCTAAATCTATACGCTATTTTGTGTTCGTTTCTTTTGTGAATTCACCAGTTAATTGCTGGAGATGGTTTTGTTGCGCTAATTTTTCACTTATAGTTCATTACTTCAGCAAACTTTCTATTTATAAATAATAATCTGTGGCATCCATCTTTGTTGCCACGTAGACGCATAGAGCGCGTAATATTTTCCGCCCAAATATACATATAACGTAGTATAACCACTTTGTTCTCATTAAGGCGACATTTAGATTAAGCTGACGTTCGGGATTAACGTATTATGATGTGTCATCGTATCAAATCGGGACCGAACAGATTTAAAAACACTACTCGCAATATTGTCTTCCATCCATATAATTGTCATCACACTCAACGGATTTATATCTTTCTTGCGTGTATAGTTGAATGTATTTTTGTTTTTGTGAAACACCGTTTCTTTGAGGAAATAGATATTATTCAACTGTTTCGTGAACTCGATGAAAAGGGTGAGATTTTTGTTGCGACAGTTATAATATTAGAGATACATAAAAAAAAAATTGGTTGCATCCTACGAGCTAAAATACCTAGAGAGGCTGTGAAACCGCCATATTTTGAAAGGCTGATAAATAGGCTGAACACTACTTTCTCCAAACTAAAAATAAATGTGAATGCAATTATAATGTAATGTAAGGGTGTTTATAATTAAAGCTCACTTATTCCTTGCAGTCTAGTCTACAGCAAAAACTACTTATAGGAAGGTTACCAAATTTTCGGTACGTCTTAACGAAAGGAGTAACTTACGTGACGACCATACGTTTGCTAAAACAATGATAATTGTTTTACCAAAAATGTGCTCTTCGCGGCGACTTCCGCTCGACGTCTTTCGGAAGCACGCGAATCACTCGAACGGTGGAAGAGGAGGAGGTGGAGGAAGAGGAGCATTCCTCCTGCCTATCATCTCTCGAAGTCTGCCACTTTCTTAACGCTTTGAAATTATCCATTCTGCAATGAAAAACAAGCGACTGTGTAAAAATAGAACTTGCATTAATTAAAAATTATTTTAATTTCGTCTAAATTGTAACACATAGGCCTATATAAATGTTTATATAAAATTAATTATAAATTGAATAAAGATTTATGTTAAAAGATTGTAGAAATTGATCGTTTTAACTATAGTAAAAATTTCAAGTCAGTAAACAATATTGTGATAGAATCTTTAATTATTAAATATAGTAGTTTTAATCTTTCCAGCAATTTTTAAGGTCGATATATAATTTTAAAAATTGGTTTATACAAATTATACAATTCTGTCGATTGCCATAACTCAAAATATTTGTGAAATCCTCATTAATTAAAGTATATAATATAGCTGTGTGAATTTCATATGGGATATAATGTGTATATAAACTATTGCGGTAAATAATAATTTAATGCATTTATTAATTTCCATTTTTCTTTAACAATTATAAATCTTTAACAGTTCGATTGAATTTGGACTAAACGAAAATTAACAATAAAAAAGGTGAAAAGTATCTCCTGAAATAAGTGGAAAGACTTTGTTCGTGATCTCTGTGACGAAACCGATTAACTGTTATCTAAATGGAGCTTTGTTGGAAAATTATTGCCACTTACTGTCATATTCGGCTTAACAATGTTCAAAAATATTTAAATTTAGAAAGTTCGTGGTCTGAACTTACCGATAAAATAACTATAAATGATGCAAAACGCTTGAAATCAATCACTTTTAATCGGAGGAACTGAAAATTCGACCGCTCCCATCAACAATAATCGACCGCTGACAACAAATTGTCAGAATTAATTGTTGCCTGGCCGCGAAATTTAATGTAAAACGTTTAGATTTTTCCGCCCATTTGTCGCCGAAGAGACGGATTTCCGCGGATCATTCCTTGCATATATAATACATTCGTGTTAACGGTAATATGTATTTAAAAATTCGTTTCTTTGTGTCATCTGACAGCTCATACTCGGAAAAAGCGATAGGAGCAGTACCTCTACTGCTTTCTGCTGACTGGAAGTTCCGTCAGGACTTTCGATTGACTTCTAGACACTTGTATTTTTTATTTTTTCACTACTAGCTTATAGGAGAGACAGGTCAATATTTTTAAGGATATTAAGCCGAATCTAATCATTTCAAAGAGTTATAGAATTACTATTTAAAATAATCGGCATACGCATAAATATGTGAAGCATAACCAAGTTTCACTGTACATTTCCTCAAAATAAAAAGTAATTTGACCACACCAAGACGCAAAAGCCGCGAAGGGATGAGAATAGGATATCGCACTCGCGTGCCATTTGTTCTTTTTTCGTATAGCGTTACGCTACATACACTATAGAAAAGTCTAGAAATGTTAAGAGACCGCCAAATATCGAATGGATAAAACCACCGAACAGTGATAGTTAGTCGTGGATTCGTGCCACGCCAACGAGCTGGCCACGTGGAGTTTCCGGTTTTTTTCAAGTTTGTAACATCTAAACAGGGGGACAGTTTTTCTGGAAAGAATTCCCTCTTCGGCAGATCGCCCACTCGTCGCGTTGCCGTATACAAATATATCAAACCTAAAAACGTTAGAGTATCACAAAAATATATATACATCACTTTACAGAATGCTTCGTGTTAAACACGTGTCAGAGTTAGTATGCACGAAAAGTAGATAAACAAAGAATTTGTATTCCATCAACACTCTAAACAATAGAACATTACTTATAAACTATCATGCATTTGTTACCTAAAGTATTAATTGTACTGTACGATTATAATGCGTACATTATAAAGTGATAACTATTCGAAGAATTAGGAAAGTAACCCGAATGAAACAATTAAATAAGAATTTATGGTCCCAAAAATTAACTACGGGAGAGAAAACTTTTATTATTTATTCTAATATTGTTCAGCTTATTTTGAACGTGTCTGCTTGTTCGGAATTAACTGAACAATAATAGAGGCGATTGTGTAATTCATAAAACTAATTTTAATATTCTTCCCATCTAATGATGACTATACAAAAAAACTTTAGTATATTATAATATTGATATATTAGATTGTCGAATATAAATGCAAGATAGTTAAAATATATTTATTTACATAAAAATTTTGTCTACGAACTAAAAAGTTTAAAAGGAATAAACGACGAACAATAATGCAAACATAATGACAAAAGGGAAACATCTGTAGGTGACAAACGAGTGACGTCAAAGCAATTGTTTTCAAATCTGTCAGGTGAGAAATTTGGAATTTTAAAAGCATTAATTATCCAACTTTCTATTTAATACGTTTTGAAATTATTATAAAATTTATTTATAACAGAAAAATAACTCAAATAACATCAAACAAATTTTTGATAATAAAGTACTCTTGTTAAATGATTGTAATTATTTATTGTTGATATAATTACCCCAACCTCGAATAATTACGGAAAAATTGCGAGATTGTAAAATTCTACACTTTCTTACAGATCAATTATTTAAAAATAAGGCAATAAATGGTTTAATTATATTCCTTACGTAACACTTTATATAAAGACTAATTTTTGTCTTTATAAAAAGTTGTCGCTATACTTTTTGTTGTTTAAGCACTATAAAGTGCAATTAATCGACCACTAGGCATCCTTTCATCTTTTTATTTTTTATTTAGTCGACGAGTCCTTTAGTTGTAATCCTTTTATTAAATACAAATTCTTTGATTACCTGCTGTTCGTGCATACTAACTCTGACACGTGTTTAGCGTGGAGAATTCTGTAAAGTGATGTACAGTATATGTATTGTTGCGATACTCTAACGTTTCTAGATTTGATTTATTTGTATACGGCAACGCGAAAAGTGGGCGATCTACCGAAAAGGGGATGCTTTCCAGGAAGACTGCTCCCTGTTTAGATGTTACAAACTTAAAAAAAATCCGGAAACTTCACGTGGCCAGCTGGTTGGCGTGACTCGAATCCACCACTATCAGTGTTTGGTGGTTAAAACCGAAAGAGTAACTCCGGAAGTCTGCGCTAGCTTATTGCTCTCCCAGGCAATTATTTAACATCATTTGTCGTTTGGTCGGATTTATTTAAATAGCGTGACTCGTTAAATTTATTTCCACGTTTAAATAAGCTTAATTTATATCATTATATTTAAAAGAGATCATCAATTTATCTTCTTTATCAAAATATTTTCGTTAAATATTAAACACTTATTTGTAAATTCCAAACGTCTGTTTCTATGGATTATTGAACATGTGCGCTTAGCATATTTGTCAATTTTTCATTGGTTGCAGTTGTTAAAGATATCTTTCAACGAATATAAATAGACACGCATTCTTTCAGTCTCCAGTTCCGTTTGTACTATTTGTTGGTACAGGTAAGTTAGTTTAATTACTTACAAATACAGAATTTTTTTGGACTTCAATTCTCAAATTATAGACCTATAAATTCCTACGGGTGCTGTCTGTCTCTCTGTCCTTCCTCGATCTCGATAACCGAGATAGATAGATGGAAGTCGAGAGACAGATAGCTTAGGAGCTGATGGCCCCGATTAAATATAAACGATTTCGATTCAAAAATGTTTTCCAGAACAAAGTTACGTAGATGACCGGCATGGCTCTATTGTTAACAGCAAAAGTATGTTGTACAGGGGCAAGAC